CGGTCAGTTTCAGCAGCGGCTGAATCTGGACACCAGTTCCGACTTACATACAGATTCAACTTAAGAACAAACCTACAGTCCCTATCTTGTACGTAACCCGGGGACTGCCTGTAATTGAAAACTGGTATCACGTCTCCCCTCAGTCTTCTCTTCTCTAAATTAAACAAGCCCAATTGCTTCAGTCTTCCCTCATAGCTCATGTTTTCGTTTCAGCAGCGGCTGAATCTGGACACCAGTTCCGACTTACATACAGATTCAACTTAAGAACAAACCTACAGTCCCTATCTTGTACGTAACCCGGGGACTGCCTGTAATTGAAAACTGGTATCACGTCTCCCCTCAGTCTTCTCTTCTCTAAATTAAACAAGCCCAATTGCTTCAGTCTTCCCTCATAGCTCATGTTTTCTAGGCCTTTAATCATTTTTCTTGCTCTTTTCTGGACCTTCTCCAATTTTTCCACATCTTTCTTAAAATGCTGTGCCCAGAACTGGACACAGTACTCCAACTTTGACCTAATCAGTGCAGAGTAGAGCTGAAGAATGACTTCTCATGTCTTGCTCACAACTCTCCTATTAATGCATCTCAGAATCTTTGCTGCTTTTTTTTTTGTTTGTTTGTTTGTTTGTTTCTGCAACAGGGTCACACTGTTGACTCATATTTAGTTTGTAGTCCTCTGACCCCTAGGATTCCTTTCTGCAGTACTCCTTCCTAGTACTCCATCACTTTCCATTCTGATTGTTCCTTCTGGAGTACTTTGCATTTGTCCTTATTAAACTTCATCCTATTTACCTCACATCATTTTTCTTGTTTGTCTAGATCACTTTGAATTAAGACCCTATCCTCCAAAGCACTTGCAACCTCTCCTAGCTTGGTATCATCTACAGACTTAATAATCATACTGTCTATGCTATCAGCTAAAGCATTGAAGAGATCCAGTCCCAAAATAGACTTTTACGGCACTCCACTTGTTATGCCCCTCCAGCATGATTGTGAACCATTAATAACTACTTTCTGAGAACGGTTATCCAGCCGATTATGCACCCACTTTATAGTAGCCCCATCTAGGTTGTATTTCCTTAGTTTAATGATAAAAAGGTCATGCAAGACCATATCAAATACTTTAATAAAGTCTAGGTATACCAAATCCACCACTTCTCCCTTATCCACAAGACTTGTTATCCTATCAGAGAAAGTTTTCCGATTGGCTTGACATGATTCGTTCTTTACAAATCCAGGCTGGCTGCTATCTATCACCTTATTATCTTCCAGTTGTTTGCAGATGAATTCCTTAATTACTTGCTCCATTATCTTCCCTGGCACAGAAGTTAAACTGATTGGTCTGTAGTTTCCTAGGTGGTTCTTATTTCACTTTTTATAAATGGGCACTATATTTGCCCTTTTCCAGTCTTCTGGAATCTCTCCAGACTACCATAACTTTTCAAAGGTGATAGCTAAAGGATCAGATACCTCCTCTATCGGCTCCTTGAGTATTCTAGGATGCATTTCAGGCACTGTGACTTGAAGATGTCTAGCTTTTCTAAGTAATTTGTAATTCTTTTTTTATTTTGAACTTTTAAATCTACACCATTTCCATTTGCATTCACTGTTAGGCATCTTGTCACCATCAATTTGCTTGACAATAACTAAAACTAAAGTCTTTAAGCACCTCTGCCATTTCCAAATTTCCTGTTACTGTTTCTTCCTCTTCACTGAGCAATGGGCCTGCCCTATCATTGGTCCTCCTCCTTGCTTCTAATATACTTATATGTCTTGTTTCCCTTTATGCCTCTAGCTAGTCTGAGCTCGTTTTGTGCCTTTACTCCTGCATACTTGTTTGCTTATATTCATCCTTTGTAATTTGACCTAGTTTCCACTTTTTATGACTCCTTTTCAATTTTTTAGCTCATATAAGATCTCCTGGTTAAGCCAAAGTGGTCTCTTACCCTACTTTCTATCTTTCCTATGCAGTGTAATAGTTTGCTTTTGGGCCCTTAATAATATCCCTTTGAAAAACTGAAAAACTTCCTTTAATTCCCCCCCCCCCCCCCCCCCCCTTCGCCGCTCTTGCTTCCCATGGGACATTACCTACCAGCTCTCTGAATTTATTAAAATCTGCCTTCCTGAAATCCGTTGTCTCTATTTTGCTGTTCCCCCTCCTACCATTCCTTAGAATCATGAACTCTATGATTTTATGATCACTTTTAACCAAGCTGCCTTCCACTTTTAAATTCTCAACCAGTTCCTCCTCCCTATTAGTTAAAATCAAGGACAGCTTCCCCCCAATAGCTTTCTCAACTTTCTGAAATAAGAAATTGTCTCCAGTGCAGTTCAAGAATGTAGTGGATAATTTATACCCTGCTGAGTTAATTTCCCAACATATGTCTGGATAGTTGAAGTCCTCCATCACCACCACATCCTGATCTTGGGTGATTTTGTTATTGTTGTTTAAGAAAAGCCTCATCCACCTCTTCTGGCTGATCTGTAGTGGACATCTAGCATGACATCACCCTTGTTTTTTTTAGCACTTTTAACCTAACCCAGAGACTCTCAACAAGTCTGTCTCTTATGTCCAAATGTATACATTTTTAATACATAAGGCAACACCACCTCCTTTTTTCCCCTGCGTATCCTTCTTGAGTAAGCTGTACCCTTCTATACCAATATTCCAGTTGTGTGTATTATCCTGCCAAGTCTCTGTGATATCAATTATGTCATAGTTGTGTTTCTTTATTCGCACTTCACATTCTTCCTGCTTATTCCCCATACTCCTTGCATTTGTACACAGGCATCTAAGATACTGATTAGTTTTTTGTCCCCCAGTTCTGCCTTGTCTCTCTTTTATCTCTATTATAACCCATGCTCCCTCCCTTCTGACCCACTCCCAGGTCTCCATGTTTTTCACTTACCTGTAGGCTTTGGTCACCTGCCTCCGATGAACCTAGTTTACAGCCCTCCTCGTGGCATCCCCTTCCCCTCTCTGCAGCCTAGCTGAGCTGTGCACCGGCTCCTGGCGACCCCCTCCCCCCTGCAGTGTGCCAGGACTCTGATCCTGGAACATCTGTGATCATGCCGGACCAGAGAATCCCAGATTTTTGAGGTACAACCTGTATAATATACCAGCATATTTACTTGTAAACAACCTCCTTCAATAATTAACTTTTTGACTTCAAGTCAGTAAACAAATTCTAAAATCTAAATGTAAAATCTTCAATTGGTTGTCTCATATTAAATTTAATTTATACACCTGTTGTTCCATTTTTCTTTCAGGATCTAACCCCAAATCAATGAAAGGAAACCCCCTGGCATCAACAGACTTTTTTGAAACAGACCCTATATTCTTTTCCGAAGCCAAAGTACTAATAAGTAGCTTTTACTAGTTGATGTAAATAGGAAGAAGATTCTTAAATTGTGCAGGAATAATGTCTTTGATTATTTTATTTCAAGTTTTATTTAGTGTATATATAAATGCAGGAATGGTGGTGGATTTGCAACCAACTAACTTACATAAAAAACAATCTTTACACAAGACTAGTCAGCATCTAGTGTCTGTTTTCTGGAGACTGTCTATTATGGTCACAGGTCCCAGTCAGTTGTGTAGCTTGTGGTGATAGTTTGAATATACTGGCAAGGAGGAGGAGTTTCAACAAGTATAATAAAATATTCTGTAGCCCTCTCCTCTTCCTCACCAACTACATCCCATCAAATTCGTTTTGCAGTGGCCCAGACCTTTCCGTTTAAAAAATTAATGTAGTGTCAAATGGGGGGGCCGGGGGATGTCCATATATTCACCCATGAATTCATGATTTTGGAAGGGAATATCATTTTAGCTGTAGCAGAATAGAAGTTCATTGATCAGACTGCACTGATTCTGGCTATGGAATTAGGTGGATACCTGAAGTAGTTCAACATATTGGGCATGGTAGAGAGGTTGAAAAAATTGTATTGATAGTTATTTCATTACTATTTACTGTTGCAGGTTGCTCCAATATACATTTGCTGGGGACATATTCATGGTTCCTGATGATCCTTTGGGAAGAAATGGACCTAGATTAGAGGACTTCCTTCGGAGTGAAGGCTGTTCTAGGTATAGCAGTCTCTTCATTATGCTTTGAGAACCAGGGCTTATGAAGGGCAATAAATGCTTCATCTGAACCTGAAGCAATTAACTTAAAGTCACACTAAAAAAATACACTAAGAGCACTGGCTCTAAAGATTAATGTTCTTTTTTTATTACCTTAGTCTGATCAAAAAGTAGTGATGATGTTACATGCATCTAGCCAAGTTCTCAGAAGAAGCAAGACAAGTGCCTCAGCAACTTCCTCTGAGGTTTCATTGCGACAGCATTCACATAAATGTGGCAGTCCACATACTGGTTTGGTATTACACAAACCTGTTGATGCATAACTAGTAACTATAGTTCATCTGAATTGGTGGGAAACACGTGGTGGGCCATGGGGACTTGCTGGTTGCCGTATCCCGCAGCTCCCATTGGCCGCGGTCTGCTGATAAGAGATGTGGGCAACTGTACCTGTGGAAGCAAGGTAAACAACCTCCCTGGTGGCCTGCCAGCAGCTTACCCTGATGAGCTGTTTGCAGCCTGTGGGCTCCAGGTTACCCACCATTAATCTAAATATATCTTTGATCCCTTACTGATGATCAGCAGTTGGATGATAACACTACAGAAAAACTTGATAGACTTATTAATGGTATATTGTGCACAAGGGAGATGCAAAGCCTTTTTTTCCTATTTCTATTTTCATTTTCTAAGCTACTCAAGTTATTACATCATATTAACAACAATGTCTGCCAAGACTTCTGGAACTAAATGACTTTTTAATCTATTTTTAATCTTAAATTTTTTTTAAATGTATAGATTTTAAATATACTAACATAATTTAGGAAGATATTTAAAAATCAGATCTTCCTTAAAATTCCTGAAAAGACATGATTCCAAAGCTTGGTTTCTCCGTTACACCAGGTAATGACTTTTCTAGTCTCTAAAGCAGTGAAATGAATGCAGCTGCTTGAACAAATAAGTAGTGGTTATATTATCAGCATTTGGAATAGAAAGAGCCTGGATACAAGGGTTCTTGAGAATTAATCATAAACATTAAAATGAAAATACTACAATATTTATATTAATAATACATGCAACTCTTTAAAAAGTGACTTTTTTTAAAGATACCAATATAAAAATAGCTGTTGACTGATTCTCAGATCACGTGTGATAGTTTATGTAATAGACCGTTTTTAGGGGGAGGGGCTAAATCCATCTTGGCTATAAAAAGTAATACTGAAGTTAGTACGTGGCATTTTGTAAAAATGTTAAACTGATTACTTGAATGTTTTTTGCTGTATGTTGAACTCTCTTTACCTGTCTAAAATATGCATCTCAGCCAGTCATATCCAATGTCAATCCCTGTTACTGTCTTTTAGATTTCAGATTTGAAGTCCCCTACGTAGGCTATTGTACTTAATGTTTTCTATCACTTTGGAATCAACTAAACTGTGCATCTTTAATTGAAAACAATCTGAAGAATACTAGAATGTAGGGATTCACAGGCTTTATTTTACCTGTACTGCTTATATCCAGAACAGTACCACATCTTCCTTAATTTACTAGACATTTCACTTTTGTTCTCTAGAGATTTTCCATTATCACAAATAACTCTACCAACTGGGGGACTGCATTCTTCTGGGACCTCACACTTCATGCCAATACCCAAGTCATGCAGTAATAGACAACCTAAGACTGAAGTACGTGGCGGTCCTCCATCTGCCTGGCCTCCGTTGGAACCAAACTTTCCAAATGTACACACTGGTCTTACAATTCCCCCACAAAGATCTTCTACAGAAACAATACAGCTAAGGGAAGCGTTGACAAAAATATTTCCCGATTCTGAGCAGAGACAGAAGATTGATCGAATACTAGCTGAACATCCATTCATGAGAGACCTTAATGCACTGTCTGCCATGGTACTTGATTAAGTATAATACAAGGAGTTTACATTATGATTGATCTATCTAAACTTTGAATGTCAATGTGAAGAAACATGTTGCTGAGTGTCGAGTCACTTTATGAATATTCAACATTTAGTACTTTTATTTGTATAAAAGATATGAACTATTTTTATGCATATTCCTATGGTTTTCAAACAAACATTTTTGGTAACTTAAGTTATGCTGCTATTACAGATTTGTATTAACAATTTCTGCAAAAGAAAACAATTTTATTTGCCTCCTTGAAAATGTTTATTAAAGTAGTAGCAGTTCTATTTAGAATAGTGTATTTGCACTTGTTTCATAATTATCCTGGGGGGAGGGATGTCATATTTGGCCCACTCAGATTACAATATTTATTTTAAAATATAAGCTGAAAATGGCACCTCTTATAACCGTATACTATGTATGCACATTATCTCATTAGCATTAAGTACACACCTTCAGGTAGTTGTTTTTTGCCACCTGATTGGAATTGCTTATACTGTTATAGAATATTACATTTTGCCTGTATTGTAGAAGTAATACCATTAGGTGGCAGCTTGTATCCGTTAATGTATAACAACCAAGAAAAAGATTTATACCCATTGGCATTTCTGAATTTAATCAAAAGAACATACAAGCAAAGAGAACTAAATTGATAACCGAGAGCATGCTACTGCAGTACCATATAGGGAATAAATAGTGAGAGGACCATTTGAATATTATGTTATGACACACAAAAACCTCAGAGTATTGAGCTATTATTGCATGAGGCTAGGAAATAAACAGTAGTCTGTACACATGGGTGGGATTTTACTGCCTCTCTAGTTCAAAAGTAACTTTATTTTTAAAATGAAGTAGCTCACCTTGCTAATTCGAAGTGGGGGTTACTACCTTAAAGTATTCCCCCAAAGGAATGATATAGTCACTTGTGGAGGTACATTTGTTTTAACAGAAAAATTTAAAAGAACCACAACAGTTTGAAGATGCCAAGTAACTGATTTTTTTTAAATGGTCAGAAAGGATCTCTGTGACCAAAACGGGGGGGGAAAGGCTTTACACTATTATGTGCAATACTTCCTATATAAAATGTGCTAGTTATAAGTTCTTTTCAGTTTTGGTTACAAGTATTGTGGTCTCAATTAAAACAAAGCTGTATTTTTCTGCCATGTACCTAATCACCAGTCATCTTAACTAATTTTTTACTTTTCTTTTAAACTGTATTAATTGCTGGGTTGTTGATGACTAGAACTTCCCACAGCTAAAATTATCTGCTCGTAAAATCTTTGGCCTTCAAGAACATGTGGCCTTATTTTGGATTGGTGTACTGCTCTGGAGGCCCAAGAGGTGGTGTCAGTGCACAGACATGGAGCCTCGAAGCACTGTTGAAACAAGTAGCTCTAATTACTCACAATAGCAGCAGCTTGCTTTAAGGAAACGAGTAAGTTTGTTTACATAACTTTTTTTCCCTAGGTTTCTTAAAATTTACATGAATCAACTGAAAGAAAATGTGTCCAATGATTTATTAAAGTTAGCAAAATGATCTTGCTGAAGAGAGTGGTGGTTTTCAAGTCTGAATGCAAAATTACACATTTGATAGCTCTACTCTAGAGGGGGCTAGAATGTTCCACCAGCCTGTCAGAGTAGTGCTACCTAATCTTGTGACTTGTTTGAAGTTTCTCACCTCACTCAACCCTTTGGTTGCCTGCCATTCTTGCCCATCTCCATAGCAACTCAAATCCATTCTTGGAGGAGGAGGGGCTGGAGTAGAGATTAAAGAGCTCAGCAGTTCAGGAATAGTTGGCTCTCTCCTGTGAGCACTGGGGATGACATTCCTATTCCTCACTACTGCACCTGGAAAAGGTGTGGGTGGGGGAGGGGTGAAGAATTGCTGGAGCTGCAGTCCTAGCCTGGAAGAGAGATGGGGAGCATACTGCAGTGTGACTGGCCTGGGAGAGAATGAAGACCCCTAGGAGGAACCACAGTGAAGCTGGAGTGCCAGACCCTCTGGAGCAGTAGTCCCAACCTTTTGGGGCTACCATGCACCCGGGGGGCAGGGCCGCACCCTGGTCACTAGGCGGGTGCACATAAATGCCCCGGCGGGTGCCATGGCGCCCGTGAGCACCACATTGGGGACCACTGCTCTGGAGGGACTAAACTAATGTGTGGGCATTGAGGAAGGCTGAACTATTGGTGGGAGCACAGGCCAAATTAACCACTGATTGGGGCATGGGCAGATTTGATGGAAGATTATTCACCAGGAGTCAAAATGACTTTATGTTAAAAAGTGTGTAATTAAGTAACTGTAACTACTGAAAATTTCAGCAGTTACATGTGGGGCAGCAGTTTGCTCCCTGGAATACAGAGGGGCTGCAGATAGAGGCAGCAGTGCGGGAGGGGGTACACTTTTAAGCTGACTTCCTGTGTGTACCAGTCCCACCTGCACCATGGAGCTGCTACCTCTAATACAGGTGACAGGTGGTTCCCTGGGAACTAGTGCATACTGGGAGTCAACTTTTAAGCTGGCTTCCTGCATGTACCAGGAGCCTATGTGTAAAGATTCATTGGTTAACAGCACACACGGTTACACTTTCATGCCCTTACACCCAATACATTTGGGGGAGAGGGTAACGTTAAATGTGTCAGAAGGATGGGTGTGGGAGTTCAAAATTCAAAAGATGGACTATAAAGCTAAATCTCATGACTTCAGATCTCTTGATGCTCCCAGCACTGTAAGTGTGTTGACTGAAGCAGTGGATCCTTTTGGGGACTGTACAACCCTTTATAGCAGAATGGAGAACCTTTTTGGGTTGGAGGCTTAAGGCTTGCTCATGGCCTTGAGGCTTGGGGGTTCCTCTTGCCCCCCACATTGAGGAGCCAGTAGTGGCACTCCAACCATAGCACCCCCCTATGTGGCTGGAGTGCCAGCACCATCTCTGGATACTGAAGTGGCTGAGACCCAAGCCTCTTGGGCTGTATTAAGGCAAAGCCACATTCAGCCCAAAAGGCCATTGGTTCCCCACCCCTGCTTTACATAATTTTTAGTCTATTCATGGCATTTTTACTGAAATAGAAAGATTCAGAAAGCATCCCTCCTGACCCTAGTCAGGGTTTTCTTGTTGACTTGGATAAATTCCAGACATAAGATAGACGTAGCATCTGCTTGCATAAACATCAGCTATAGGGTTAGCTGAGCTACTCACATGTTCCAAGAATACAGTTCTAAAATGCTAAATATGTAGATAGTCACAGTCCTTAGCAACTCCGAGCAAAGTCTATTGAGCAAGTCCTGATTAAATATTCCTAAAACTGAGTAAATTCAGAAGCATAATGAGAAACACTTTTAAAATAACACTTGTATGTGCAAGTTCTCAAGAAATCTTGCTAGGTCTGCTATGTGAACTGTAACTCCTATTTGAATGTATGTAGTAGTCTTGCTCTGTGTGGTAACTAATGCTTAATGGGTATACAATTTGGCCATGTTATGGTTCCTATAGCAACCATAGTGAAGTTCTTGTCTGTATTGCTTGTAAAATCTCAGCCCTAACAGATCAGCGTAGTTTGCATTTCATTTCTTCTTTGTGGGAGGTTCAAAAAGCCTTGGCACTATCTTCTACTTAGCCTTGGAGATAGACCAGAGCTATCAGGCAGAGGTAGAGATATAAGCAACTAGTAGTCGACTACCCCAGGGGTGGCCAACCCATTAAACGAAGAGAGCTGAAACAGCAGTGGAAAAAATGCGAAGAGACACACCAGAATTGTTGAGCTCCCCACCAGCCACAGTTGTTGAGCAAAAAAAAAAGGATGTTGCCCCTTTAAAAGCCGTGGGTTAGGCTTTTTGGCCACATCAGGTTCCTGTCGACTGTCACCATTTTGCTGTGCCGGACAGCTACCCTGCACCTGGCGAGCACGGAGCAGGTGCATAGGGCAGCTTTACGAGATGCAGGGGGCCTTTGCGAGTTGCATTTTCAGGGGTGAAGAGCCACATGGGCTTGTGAGCCGCAGGTTGGCCACCCCTGGACTACCCAATAAGCCACTCACTCACTCACTCTCACTCTCTCTCTTTCTTCCCTTCCCCTCTCCCCCCCCCCCGTATCAGAGGCGGCAGGGAGCAGGAGCCAGTACTGGGGGGAGCAGGCTTAAAAAACACTTCCCTCCCTGCACTGTCGCCACATGGGAACAAGGGAGGCAAAGGCACAGCAGGGGAAATGGCACAAGTGGGGATTGAAGCAGCCACAGACAGCTCTTACTACATTTAAAAGGCAGAGATGCAGTGAGGATGGCGAGCACCCTCCCCCCTCCCCTTATCAACTAAGTGAGTAGTCAATGAAAATTCCATCGACTACTTGATTAGCTGATTAATCAAAATTTAACATCCCTAGGCAGAGGACTCTACCTCAGAAACCTCTCACTTTCATCTGGCTCTCCAGCAGCAAATAGGAAAGTGAAGAAGAAAAAGCTTAAAAGGTCTAAGCCCTGAGGATCTGTCTTTAGTGCCAGAGAGGATTACCTTTCTCCTATAATCAGAGGGACTCTATTCTTCCCCACAAAGTGTGCAGAGAAGGCTAAGAAAAGAGGGAAAGCCAGGTGCCATAAGCTCCTGCAACGCTCCCTCTGATGAGGACCTGCATGGAGATCTCCCTATGCCTATTCTGTGGATACCCAGGCCCCTCTGCTCAGGTAGGAGCAGGGTTTCATGTAGCCCCTCTCTCCGCCCCAGATAGCTCACAGAAAGCAGTGGCAGCTTCTCCGCGCCTGGCAGTGGGAGAAACAATGGCCAGGGGATTAGTACAAGTGGCAGTTTCCCTGCTCTTCTCATGCATGGGGGAACATAAGTTGCTTCCTGTTCCCAGTCAGCCAGTGGATCCTGCACTCTCAGCCATGAGTCACTGTGAAGCAGCGTCCCAGGCCGCCTCCCTGCTGTAGCAGCAAGGAGATACTGACAGGCCCACCAATGGGGTAGAGGGAGAAGCAAAAAGGGCAGTTGCCTTGGGCTCTTTAAATCACTGTGGTGCATTCCAGGCAGAGTAAAGTAGGGGGCATACTACACTCTGAGCTGTGTGGAGGACTGGCTGTTCCAGCCCCGCCCAAGGCCCTACACCTTCTGGAAGCATGGAGCGGCTCTACTACCACTTCACCTGCAGAGACACACCCAGGGTAGCCTGGTAAGAAGCCCTCACACCAATCCCATCCAGCTGTTCCACAGTGTGTAATGAGTCCAACCTGGGAAAGGATCTGTCTGATTTACAAAGATACTGAAAACAGGAGTTTCTATCTACCTTTGAGCATCTATGTGAAATTCACCATATCCCAAAGAATCCCTCAATGCCTGTCCTGCTGAGCACATTAACTGGAATGCAAGGGACGTGTTCAGTGAAGTGGGTGTGGATGAAGCTATGAATTATGTAAAATATAAAGATATTGTGTTAAAATGTTTCAAGGTTACCACTAAGTTTTACAGGGTAAAATTTAGAAATTTTAAAATGTCTAAAAACATTTCTTATGTGGAATGTGCTCATAAACTGTTAGGTTTTGTCAGGAAATGGCTTATTAGTGAGAAATCTTGCAGTATTTAATTTGAACAGATGTTAAATTTGGTATTAGCTAAGGTCTGGGCTGCTATATGCGATAGAAAGGCCCGTTCCATTTTGCATGCTGTTGACATTTCAGTAATGCAAAAATGTATCTGTAGTGATGAAAGAATAATCACTATTCTCCCCAACCTAAAAGAAGAGAACGTTTAAGAGGGGGTGCAGTGCTATTCCTGTTAGAAAAGCTTATACTCTAAGGAAGACAAGTGGGCTGCTTCTAGACTGGCATGATTTTGCGGAAATACTTTTAACGGAAAAGTTTTTCCGTTAAAAGTATTTCCACAAAAGCACGTCTAGATTGGCAAGTGCCTTTGCGCAAAAGATTTGCTTTTGCGCAAAAGCATCCGTGGCCAATCTAGATGAGATTTTGCGCAAGAAAGCCCCGATCACCATTTTAGCCATCAGGGCTTTTTTGCGCAAAATAGTTCTTCCCTGTCTACACTGGCCCTCTTGCGCAAGAGGGCTTTTTCCCAAGTGGGAGCGTGAAAGCATTTGTGCAAGAAGCACTGATTTTGTACATTACAAAGTCAGTGCTTTTGCGCAAATTCAAGTGGCCAGTGTAGAAATCTTGCCAGTCTAGACGCACCCGTGGTGTATCATTTGTGTGGTACCCTTGGACACATCAAGCCAGAATGTCCAATAGTAAAAAATAAACCAGTAAATGCTAGTGTAGTTATTCTAAACACACAGGCAAACCAAATAGCTCAGCCCTTCTGCCTTATGTGCAAATGTTGTTGCTGTTATCTCTGAAGGACTTGATCTTAAAACTTCATATTAAAGTTGAATATAGCAACAATAATACAGAGTTTATTAGCAGTGAAAAAGTTACATGGAGAGACATTAATTTAGTATGAGATATTAATTTAGTTAAAGGAAGTCTTGTCGGGGAGGAAGATTACCTGCTATGTGAAAGTATAATTGTTGTAGCTTTAGCTGAATATTTTGTAAGAGTGCCTTTTGCTAAAATTCACATTAAATGGAAAGAATTTGATGGCACTATGATTGCAGTAGCAACAAATACTATTCCTTCAGATAATTTTATAGGAAATGATTTCAAAGCTTTGTGCAGTCAAGATGATATCATGAATCAGTCACAGGAAGAGAATAATCCTGAGCCTGTGTTTTATGGTGGGCAAGTCTTTGCCTATGGAGGGTTCTCCAAATGTCTGTCTGATCAAAGAAGCAGTTCATATGTGGAAGAAATTTCCTAATGTCTTTACAGTGTTTCAGAAGTGAATCTGGAATTAGATGAAACACAGGGAGACATCATTGGTCAGAAAAATTATATCTCAAATTGTTTCAGTTGAAAGTAATAGAGTGTATGCTAAAGGAAAATGTTTCTCCAGCACTGCTTTGTCTGTAAAGCAGACAGAAGAGGGGCCTGTCAGTCTACCATGGCTTAAAATGTATCAGTTGTCTCAAAGTTAATTCTGGACGCAGCTGAAGACTAGAATGGAAGTGTTCATAAGTTTGTGTATGCCGGGGGGATAGTGACATTCTAACCAGGCTCCATCCAGTTGATATCACAAATAGCTTCCAGGGACCAAACAGTGTTGGTGCTTTTATTTTGCTTGTTGTTGGTGCATTATTGGGTAAAGATATGGCAGCCTTGTCTGATCAGGTTGATGTCATAACCAGGGCACAAGAAAAGCACAAGTTGATTTGTCTGTGTTACCTGTTGGAGGCAAAGGAGGAGTAAGGGGAGAGTTAAAATGGTGGTTGTTCTTTCTTACCTGTTAATGTTAGTTGCTTCCCTAAACTGTTGGAGTGTTGTCTGTTAACCCCCTATCCCTTCCCTGAGGGAGTGCAGAAGAATGTTTGAGGTAAACAACAGGAGTAAACAACAATGCTGGGAGAGCACACGGCCCCAAGAGGCCCAGACTCAGAGGCTGCATGTGGCTGATCCATAAAGGAGAGAGGGACAGAGACACAGTGGTGGTTGACCATCAAGTGGAGCCTCCCAGAACGCCCTCTGCTCAGATCGCCCGGCCAGCGGACCAGCTTAGGAGTCAACTTGGGAAGATCAAACAATATGAACTGCCTTCTGCTCGCCTTATCATCCTGGCTGGGACTGTAAGTGTGATTGAGTGTATGAGTGAGATTCCCCTCCCTTCCCAGTTTTAGTTGAATAAACAAACCCTTTACACTCCTGTGTGGTGATCCCCTCTCCTTAGTGTTTAAAGCAGTTGCAATCCACATCCCCTTGCAACATTACCCATGTGGCTAGGTCTACACCAGTGGTCCCCAACGTGGTGCCTGCCGGGGCATGGTGCCGGCCCCAGGCGCGTGGCGCATTGGCGGCCTCTGCCCCGGGCGCATGGCACATGCGCGACGCGGCACATGCGCAGTCCCGCCCCCAGACGCCTGGTGCATGAGTGGCCCCGCTCCCGGGTGCTGGCAGCCGGGAAAGATTGGGGACCACTGGTCTACACTATAGCCTTTTTTCAGTAAAAGCTACTCAAATTGCACTCTGCAATTTGCATAGCTTTTCCAATTGCTTTTCCAGAAGAGGCTTTTCCGCCATCTAGGTGGGGCCAAATGGTGGAAAAGCCTCCTCTTTCGGAGGAGCCCTTATTCCTCATAGAACAAGGTATACAGGACACCCCGAAAGAGCGTGTTTGCTCTTCTGCGAAAAAAAGCGGAAGAGCAAATGCGTTCCCTGAAGGTGGTGGAATTTTTCCGGGATACCCGATACTAGAGATATCCCGGAAAAACCCTGCAGTCTAGATGTACCCTAACAGTGTAACTTGTAACAAGAAGTAAATGATTCCTAAACTTGTGTGTGTGTTGAGCCCAATAACCTGTATGTTGTCAGCAAGAAGAGCTGCACAAAGGAAGATGTTTCTTGTCTTTTGACTGTGCGGTCTAGAGGCTTACCCAGAAGGAGGCTGTGTGAAATTCTTCCTAATGTACCAGAGGTAGCTCTGGATTTGAGTGAAAGCCAGAAGGAGTTTTTGATGTGTTTGTTATACCAAAGTCTATGCTATACGTAACTAAAACCTCAGATGGAATGTGTTGCAATTCCTGATACAGCAGGAAGGCAGGAATTTCTTAGTGAGGTCTTTAAAGTTGATGAGAAGATAATAGCTGTTCTTAGGAGAGGAAAAGGAAATTGCTCCTATTGTCTCTCAATGTGCCATTGAGTCTTAATGCTTAATTATTACTGGTAGTAAACAGTTTCTCTACTGAGACAAGTGCGTGGGTGTCTAATGGGGAAAGTATTTCAAATGATAATGAATCTACTGACTTTCCTTTGGAAAAATCAATTGTGGCTAGGTTAAAGGAAGCTTCATTAACTGATTAGCTCCATTAACTGACCAGTTTGTGGCTCAGGTTCAAAGGGAAGTCTGTATTCCTGGCTTTATACAGCTGAGCAGCCTTGTGAATAAACGCATAGACACTTTGGATATATTAGGGTACGTCTACACTACCACCCTAGTTCGAACTAGGGTGGTTAATGTAGTCAATCGAAGTTGCAAATGAAGCCCGGGATTTAAATATCTCTTCATAGAACGAGGTGTAACGGTAGTACGAATTAGAAAGCCTAATTCGAACTACCTACTCCGTGCCGCGTGTAGCCACGGGCACGGAGTCCGAACTACCAGGGATTTATAAATGGCAGCGTCCGGCAAGATGCAAATGAAGCCCGGGATATTTAAATCCCGGGCTTCATTTGCAACTTCGATTGACTACGTTAACCACCCTAGTTCGAACTAGGGTGGTAGTGTAGACATACCCTTATTTCTTAGTAAGATCTGATGCATCTATTGCCTTGTGTTTTGCAGATATGGGTGGTTGAAAAACAGGAGAACTGTAGCTCAGAGATTACTGAAGTTGGCAATTGTGTCGGTTTATGTCCATGCAAGCTACCTAACTGACAAGGGAAGGACAGAGAGTTGCCCATAAAATGCTGTTAATTAGCACAGA